GGACTTCTGATGTCAGTGGGTTTATTTTCTGACTAGCAGTCAGACACTAATCAGGAACAATTTCTTTTACCCATACATGAGTTTATGCACGATACAAATTGCTATGTTATTGATACTTCTAGTGCAGAATTCATCCTAAGGCACAGTCAGGGAGAACATATGACTGAGTTTTTCCAGTGCCCTTTTAAAGCTTCCATCTGGTCTCTGAATCACGCTTGCTGTGTTCTAGCCATGTATTTTAGACCTCTGTATTCATTATAGGTAATATTAATGCACAATTCTTTGAAGTATAATTCTGTGGGGAGTAGATCATTGTGGTCTCAGTATCTGCATGTTACATTTCCAAATGCATGAGCATTTATGTATATCTAAACCCTGGGTCTTTCCTGCTGCTCAGTCTCTTAAATTTAACAACCTCAATTACTGTTTTGATGAACCTTTCTTCAGTGTTTATTCTTAATAGCTTGCAGTGTAGTCTTTTACTGTCACTTTACTTAAGATATCATTGACAGATGGGATAGAGACAAATTTTTATTTGTATTCTTCCTTCTCATGCTACTTCCTGTGTTTGTTATATTTAATCTTTTTTAGTAAGGATCCTTCTTAGCATCTAATTTGTTCTGAAAAGGGATACCAGTGTAAACACTAAGAATGAGGTGTTGCTGAAGACATAGCATCAGGCAAATATGAATGTAGTTACCAAACAGCATGTAAAGGGAGGAGATGACTCGATTAGCTTGTAAAATGTAAATCATTACCTTACCAAATTGACTTGTGGATCTAAGGGTTGAACCATATATCATATTCCATATATCATGTACTGAGTGATTAATAAAACATGCTAGTTTATAGTGTTCCTTGAAGTAAAGTAGGCGAAGGGTAAAGGGCTGGTGGGATGAACTCTAAACTTGACATTAAATTGAGAATGTTCAACAGTTTTTTTCATTAACCTTTATGGATGAGGAAACTTAGCTATTTTTATTTCTTCTACGCCTTCATCATTTAAGAATCCAATGACAGTTTTTTACCTTTAAGTGAGTGAATGGTCATGTGTGAGTATTAAGGCAACATTTGTGACATTAGGCCGTCTTTAAGGAAACTGTACAAACAGATTTCATAGCCTATTTAAACTGAATAGAGCCTGGCAAAGCAAACTTCATTTCCATATTAAAAGTATCATGTTGTATACTTAATAACACAGTAGTTCCAATTTGATGTGATTTCTTGTAGACTATTAAAATCAGTAAACTCTCAGTCTTGCTTTCTTTGTAATCAAGTGTTCTTGTTCTAGCAGACAAATCAAGACCACCGTCATCCAGCCCTTCCAGTATTGTTCGCCGGACTTCCTCACTGGACACACTTGCTGCTCCTTACCTTGCTGGACAGTGGCCTCGGGATAATCACGGACAAGCTGCTCCATGTATGAGAGACAAAGCCACACAGGTAGGACAGATCGTTGTCTTTGGGGTACTTAAATGTGAAGATGGGATTTAAATGTAAGAAGAAGGTTTTCCCCTGAAAATATTCACTTCAGCTTTCTTGCTCACAAGTTGCTTTCAAATTGCGGGGATCCTTTGCTACTGTGTATGTGAATTATTTAATTTCTCCTTCTGTGGATGCAGTCTGGCAGTAGGATTGTCTAACTTGTACAGTTAAAGAAAGAGGCAAACATATCAGATTTTAAATCCCTGTTGCTGGAACGTGGTTTCAACAACAGGTCACTAATTCCAAAGAACATAAGTGAAATACAGTTGGAAGAGGATCTGACAGCATGTGGCACATACTTGTGCTTGAATCAGCCATGCTAGTTTGGGTAACAGTAACAAGAATGTGGCTTCGTAGGTTTCAGTGTTCTGTCTAAGGACAGTGTTTTGTGAAAAGGACCACCATTCAAAGAGCAGACTGGTAGAGAGCAAAGGTGCTTTGTAGGAGAATATGTCTGTGGGGATAAGGTGGACATGGGAAGTGATGAAGAAAGGACAGCCTAGGATCAAGTTTTTTGTGCAGGAAAATGAATTGGAAAATAGTTAGAAGATGGGGTGAAAGAGGTAAGCAAACTGAAGTAAGAGGAGGAGGATGAAGGAAGGTATGTGATATACAGGGAATGGCTGCTCATGCTTAGCTATTAAAAGGCATCATTAAAGGGCAAAACTAAACTTGTATGGGTGTCTTAGCAATTTATTTTCTTTTTTTATTTCTTAGGATAATACTTTTTTCAAAATATTTATATTTCTGTTCTGCTGCCAAAGTATTTGCTGTGTTCAGTAGATCTCCTTCATTTTAGTCTCAATATGATCTGTGTCATGGCTGGGCTTTTATAATCCCTGTATTTGCCAGATATCATCATTTTTGGCTTGCATTTTTCTTTTGTCATGTTCTTCCTATTTTGACACATCTAACTGCTGTGGTAGTGGGACTTTCATATATAAGGGGAAATATATTTGAAAAGGTTAATAGGAAGACTATAAAGGGCATTGTGTGTTTCTGCAGAATGAGTACACTTAGTGGTGATTTATGGTAGTGTATTTCTGAGACAAGTAGAATCATCTGTTTGCACTTCCTAATTTGAAATTTCTCAGACCAGTAGAAAATTTAGGGATATAGACATATATCTATAAGCCTAAACCTTTTGTTCATATGACAGTGATGAGATACTATTGCTTTTAATCTTCTGGTGTGCCTGAGAGTAACCACTCAAGCTAAGGACAAGTTTAAAATGTGATTTACAATAGTTAGTTTCCCAAGATAATATAGGCTCTCCATTTATACCATTCAGCTTTTTCTGAAGATGTCGTATTTGAGTGAAGTTCCACTTGTAAGATCTTCTGGTTCCAGTGTGCAACTTCAGATTTCACAAGGTCTGACATGAAATGCATGTGTTCAGATTTCGAGAGTTTAGAGAACATGAATTGGATCTGTGAAGATATAGAAGGTTTTCAAGTCGAGTAAATAAGGCATTTTGGTTCTGTGGAGTTATGGCATAGGGAGTGGAGTTGTTCAGGAAGCAGAGTGGGAAGAGATAGCAATTAGTGGCACACTTCAGCTTGCAGGCCCCTCTGGAGATGCCCTGGGGTCAGGGCTGAGAACTGTGGAAGAGATCCCAGGTCATGCAGTGACTGGGTATCAGGCTCTTTCATTTTGTGAAACGTGTCCATAGAACTAGACTGAATTATGCACTTGAAGAATGATTGTTGGATGATAAGTGTATTATTGGTTGTCTTGGGGTCTGGCTAGAATTCCTACTGGCCCATATTGTTTTAAGTGCTCCTAAAACAGGTGTTGGTAATCTTGTGTCTTTTTTCATTTGAATTAAACCTGTTTGGCTTACAAACTTTGGCTTTCTCTTTGTCATTCTAGAATGGGGAAGGATGTTTTGAATGGTACCAACAGATAAGCAGTAGTACATTAAGAACCTAGAGAAATAAAAATCCCACTTTGCCTACTGGTTATCTGATCTGTATTTCTTGATAATAAGTATTATAAACAAAGTATGGAGAATAAATAGGAGGGGACTTGCTAAAATAGTACCACATTTCTGTTTTGATGTACAGGTTTCCTGTAATTTAGTGTCTTATACTCACTCCCACTCTGAAAATGTCTCCAACTATTTGTGTTGAGGATGAGCATCAAAGCAACCTTTAATGCTGTGAAATGAATCAGATATTAATTTATTTAATAAGTCTTGAATCTTGAGTCAAAGTCTAGAATATAAATTAAAGGCAAAGACTGATTAGAGTGTTAATTAGACTCCTGTAGGAAAGTGTAATGGTTGTGCTAAGTTGGAAAGCAAGAATTAGTGGCTAAAGCTTACTGTTCCATGAGCTTGAGGATGGGATGAGACTCCTGACTGATGTTTGAGAATTGACTAAACAAAGGTTGATACTTTGGTTGGGAATGGGGGTTATCAATTATTCTATTTTATGACGAAGATCAGTGAGGGCTTTTCTGGAAAAACAGATTGTAATGGATTCTGATTTTGCTATGAAATAGCAATTTCAAAGCAACCCTACTAGCTTCATTATTCAGATTTGTCCTAGTTAGTTTTTGATTTGGAATGATGAAGATTAAAAACTACTGATAGTGGAGCTTTCACTTAGATGAAACTTACATCTGTAACTGAAGCTGGTGGGGTTGCAACCTATATATTTGGAGTTACAGCTCCATGTTCCCTGCAAAACAGGGATTGATACCACAGAGGACACGTGAGTTTCTGTGATCTGAGTGCAGATGGGGTAAGTAAAGGTCAGCTTGTGGTTTCTGCAGGCTGTTAGTCTCACATGTAAGAACAACTACTGCACGCTGTGAAGACTTTAAGGCAATCAAAGTTCCTCTCCGTAGGAGAATGTGCGATATCAGTGGCTCCTAAAAATGAGGTTAACTAGGACACCACTGTATGATAAGAACTGTGACAGTTGTGGCAACATTGAATTTCAAGGAATTTGCTGTCTCTTTGAGTGTGTGAGCTTCTTCCAGATACTCTTCCCCTTGCTTCATTAGCTATATTTCTTGTGACTGCATGGAGGTTCCTGAGAGATTTTACTCTCCATCTTCTTAGAGCCTTCACAGTTCACTGCCTTGGAAGACATTTCTGGACGTGATAAGGTGGAAATACAAACTGTCCAGAAAGCTTTCAGTGTTATCACATATTATGCCTGTGCATTTCTTGTCTTAAATACAGTTTGTCTTAATAATACTTTGAGTTTCTCAGAAGTCTTTCACCACAGTATGTTTGCAAGTTTTTTTTATTAAACACTGATAACTAAACTGGTTTAGTATTATCTGTGTTGCTTTCTGCTTGGCCTGAGACAACTGTGAACGTAGAGCCCTTTGAGGCATTAATAAATTAATTCCCTGCTTTGCAATAGCTCTAGTGGTGCTCATATGCCTTGCCTTCCTTTCTCTCATTCTTGTGAGCAAGACCATGATTTTGAAGCTGTGCTGGTGCCAGCTTTCACAACGTTTACACCAAGCTACCCTTGCTAGTGTGTCAGAAATAACAAGGTCAGCATCTGTGCAGGAAATAAAGTATACCATCTCCCCCCAGTTCAGAACTGTCATACTGGTTCTTCACAACTCTGTAGCAGCTTGTGGTACATCTGGCTGTGAATACTGCCTTATGCTCAAGAATGAAGGAAAACTAGCACATTCCTATATTAGAGTAAGTCTGAAAGTTGTTGGTTTTATTTATATAGTTTCACTCCACTTTTTCATAATTCACCTGTGAGAAAGGTTTCTAGCTGATGACTGCTGTTCACTTTCAGTTATGAATCTAGCAAATCTTAAATGTTCTTTCCTAATGTGTCTCAAAATATTCTGCCAGAAAGTAGCAATTATCTTTTTTAATTAATCCTGTAATCTTCTTGCTACAGACAGAAAGTGCCTGGGCTGAAGAGTATTTAGAAAAGAAGAGAAGCTCACACAAACGTTCATCATCATGGGGCAGCAATGAACAACTCAAGGAGGTCAGAAATGCCATTACTTGAGATACCTTTGGATTAAATTTTTTCCTGGTATGCACTGATACTATGATTTTTCAGGAAGGCAATATTTAATATAACAATGCAGGTCTACTAAAAATTTTAATCTGAATGTTTGGTAAAGAAAGTGTTTAATGGAGGTACCATTCTTCATCAAAGGAGAAAATACAGCAGTGACCAAACTATTTTCAAACTTCATGTATTTCAAGTTCTTTCATTAAATCTCCAGAGGTGCCCTCTGGGCTTCAGTTGAGTTGGTAACTAACATATTAGGTGTGCAAGATCTTGGCTCTGATTTAGTGCTGGCAGTAATCATGAACATTGTGGTAGTAAAGGATTTTAACTAAGTGATGGAACATATTGATGACACTGTGTGTGTACCTGAATACACCTGCTGAAATCTAATTTTTCCTTTGTTAGATTGCAAAATTGCGTCAGCAACTGCAGAGGAGCAAACACAGCAGTCGGCACCACCGCGATAAGGAGAGACAGTCTCCATTTCATGGTAACCATGCAGCCATTAACCACAGTCAGGTAAGGCTGCTTTTTGGCACTATTGGGGAGCTAATACTGATTTTAACTCCTTTCAAGGTTGTGATTTGCCTTAAAGGGAACTTAGAAATACCACGGACTGCTCGATGTGTTGTAGTTATAGGTGAATTCTATGAAATGGGTCTCGTTCTTTTGACTTCCTTGAGTGAATGGAGTTCCAGATCTTTTTGTTACTTGGGTGAGCTGGCTTTGAACTCCCACATTCAAGTAATTTCAGGTAGTTAAAACCTTCCTTAAAGCAAGATTTTGAAGATGCATTCTGAAGGCTCCACAAAAACCACAGATCATCTTTTTCATTACGTGCTGCTGTAACAATTACGGCTTTGCATGTAGAATATGGCATGGAGCAAACTGCTGGTAAAACTGTACACACAAATAAAATGTGGCTTTCTAGAGCACATTTTGTGTCTTGACAAACACTTGTCTAATACTGTGATGAGCTTTAGAGGCCTTACCTGATAAAAGGCTCTTCAATGGAATTATTCATTCGAGTGTTTATACACTTCATGACTTCGTTCAACCTGTGTAAGATTTTATTTCTTTTTCCTGTCATTTACTGTGCCTTGAGACCTGGAAGTAGTAATCACTTCAAAAACTACAGTGGTTAGGCCACCGTATGTTCTGTGTGCAGTTTCAGTTTTATCTCAAGACTTTTAATCGGGTCAGGTTGACAGAGGTGTTAATATTTTTAGCTCAATTGATAACAGGCATAAAAAAATACAGGCTTTTAGACACACATGTCCTTTTTCAAGTGTGTTTTGCTTGAGTAACTTTAAGAAAACGGATAAGAAATTTTGGACATTTTTTTCAGAAGAAAACCTCTTTCCTCTCCCTACTGATAGCTTATGAATGTATATTTGATACACACAATTTTTTTAACAGTTGTGAAAAGAACAAGACAAAAAAGAACTACATTGTAAGCCAATGTAGTTGAAACTATGAAACTGTCAGTGTTGTGAATTGAGAAAGTACTTCATCTGTGAAGCTTCTCTGAAAATCTAATTATATTTCCACTTACTCCTGAAATGCTGTTAGCATTGTTCTAATAAATGTCATAATTTGACACCGGTTAATAAAAACTGTTTCATTTCTGTCATTCCATCCTTCTGGAATTAATTTAGGCCACAGAGAGTTGTTGTGGCATCAGCATGTGCCCTACTCTACAGGTACTTAGCCACTCTGATAAAGGATGAAATAAGAAACAGAAGGGAGAACCATTCATTTAGTCCTAAGCAGCCAGATTCTTCCTCAGATAAAAGTCAGGTGTCTGAGTGAATCTGTTTGTCTTTCAAAACTGGAAACAAGAAAATGGAACAGTGTTTTGAATTTCTTCTACTCTGTTCTTCTTAACATCTACTTTGTATAAAAAGTCATTGGCATCCTATGTCTCAGACCTGAACTTCTAAGCCCTGCTGTAGGTCACTTAATTAGGAGTCATGAATTTTCAGGATTCAAGTGCCTTTTGAAATCAGTTTGTTCCTGGTGTGAATTCTGTCCTATTAGAAGTATTTAGGATTTTTTTTTTAATTACATTTTTTGACATAACAATTTAGGAATTGTTTCTTCAAACTCCTTAAATCTTGAGACAGAAACTCCTCCTCTTCTGTATAGTAGAAGAGATTGGATTTGAAATAGGCTGCATAGTACAGATCCCCACATCTTGGTGTGTCTTACTGCAGTATGGGTGCAGTTATAGAGTGCTGCTGATGGTGGTGACTGCTATAGCTCAAGTCAGAACAGTCCAAAATGATGAACAAAGAAAGACAAATAAATGGCCCAATCCCTTTCTACGGGTTTTTGAAAAAGTTTATGAAAATCAACATGCAGAATGTGTCATAAGCTGTTGGTTAGTAAAAGGGTAGATCAACATACTTGATGCAGGTGTTCTATCCAAATTTGTAGAACTTGAGGGCATTTGAGGTGTTTCAACCAAAAGATGCACTGAGGGAATTTTGGTGTAGGTTCTTTAGCACCTGGAGAATCTCATGCAGTCTGTCAGGTTTTCTTGGCATTCTACAAACCTATGGGTTTCTGAATGCTAAGCTGTTGTCACTTTAGGGTAGATAATCTTAGTGGGTTTTAATTTTCAAAGTGAACAGTGATGCTGTTACTCTGAAAAATACCCCGTCCGCAAATTACCTACCTTTTTTTTTTGCGTCATATTTTTTTTATTATTCTACTTCTTGTGTGGATGCCTTTGCATTCTGCCAAATTTTAGAGTATGTGAATAAAATATTGCACAATGGATAATTAGTTTTTGGGCTTGTGAAACAAACTATAAAATATAAACTGAGGCAAAGCAGCTTGTCCAGGATTGTGTTACAAAACAAAACATTGTTTTTCTTGGTAAATTTCGTGCCTGCTGGTGTTGAACTACTTGCAAAGGGGGCAAGTTACAGAAGGGCTCAAAAAGAGTAAGTAAAGAGTCTAGATTAATGGCATTTAGTGCCTGTTTTCTAAGTCAGAGTGAGAATTGTAACTGTAGGCATCGAGGGCAAAGTTCTCAGATTTTCTCATTCCTCTTTTGGGAACCACTAAACTAGAATTTCTGGCAGCAGCTCAGTTCCTTCAGGATATGTGGGAAGGATCTGTGTGTGGAAACTAGCATTTAGGGATGAGAATACTTAGAATTTTTTTTTTTTTTACATTCCTAGCTTGAAGGAAACTTGTGTTTGTTGACTCTAAAGAGTCATACAAAGATTTCTGAGCTCAAAGAGTTGGATGCCTGACAAGGTGAAAAAAAATGTTAGGAAATTGCCTCAGTAGTTCCTTCACAGAGACTGAGTAAATACTGTTTAACGTTTGGAAAATGGCATACTCTTCTATTAAAATTAAAATAGGAAATTTCAGTGAATTTTTATCCTTTTTTTTCCCTTACTAATAAAAACTTGAACTTTACCAGAATTCTTGAATTTTACTAAAATTGTTACTGGGTCTTGCCAACTTAAGCCTCTGATTGTTTAGTTGTGCTTCTTTCTAATACAGTTTTTGTGTGAGGAAAAAAAATCCACACAACCTCTGTAGAATAAGCTAGTTAGCTGTTCCTGTCCCTCTACTCAGAATCAGGAAATAGTTGATGAGGACTTTAATCAAGCCTGATCTGCTGACTACATTTATTTGTAGAGCAATTGAATGTTTTTTGTTTGTGTGGTTTTTACATTATGCCAGAAACGTTCCATTCTGCCTCTCCTAGCAGGACGAGGGGTTTGCAGAAAGGTCGTAGCCTTCTCAGGTGATCTCAAGATGCTTCTGAGAACACTTAAAATTAATTGTGTGATATTAAATCTGTAAACAGGAGTCAAACTACCAGGATCTTCCTTATTCTCAATGTTGGTATAATGGAGAAACTAGAATTGAGGCTAGAACTGAAGCCAGATGAAAGAATAAATGGATTAGTTCTCCCAAAATAATCTTTTTTTCCTCAGTGCACTTGACTGATGTTACATTGCTTTTTGACACTATGAATCATCAAGCCCCCCTCTTCCTTTCACTTTCCTGAGAAGTGTGTGTCCTTAATGTCTTACCAATTGATTGATCCTAAACAACCAGTAATATCGAGACCAACTGCATGCAGTTTGCAGTGTTTGAGATTTGCTTTTTTTGTGTGTGTGTCACTCACCTTATAGAGTTTTTAGAGTGGAATTACCATGATCCGTTCAGCCTTGAGAAGGTTTGATGTTAATATCTAAAGGCATCAAAAAGACCTTGCATTCTGTTTACAGTTTTGTTGCTTGTTGAAAAATTGGAAGAGCTTGGAGCATTTTTCCTGAAATGCCTGTGAACAATTTAGATTGGTCATGGTCCATATTTCATATGTCACAAGTTTATGCCATACCTGTAAGTTCCAGGACTCTTAACTGTCCTGCAGCAAAACTCCCTGAGCGTGTGTTATGATGTGAGCGCTGTCATTATTATCCTGTGTTTGCACCTTGCCTCACTGTGTCTGGTCACAAATGTGCAGGTGGGCAGTCCAAGATCAGTAGTCTATTCCTGCATGTCAGGGCCCAGCTCAATGCAGTCCTCTGTGAAGGCAGTGTTTCCAATAACAAGTTTCTTGTTTTGAGGCTGATTGTTCCACCCATGTCACAATACCTCCTTCCCTTCCCACCCTCTGGCACTCCGGGCTAGCAAATCATCCTCACTCATGTACAGAATGTTATTTTTCTTGGAAGTGAAACATGCTGTATTGAACTTCATTGAACTCTAATGGAGCAACTGGTGCCTTTCTGTTTAGAATTGTGCTACTGTTTGAAGGGCTCAAAGAATTTTTGTGGTGGGCAATCATATTTAAAAGATGGAGAATTCACATATTTTGCTAATGGTGGTTGAAATCTCAAAGCATACTTGCCTTCTACTTTTTCACAGTTCAGTTTGTCCTAAGAATGTGTGTATTGAATAACTGGGTGCATAAACAGTTTTTAGTGTCTAAACTGGTGCTGATATACCTGTATTATAACTGAATATTGACCTGTATTAGTTTACTGGATTGCTGATCCAAGGCCTTGCTTGGAACAGAATTAGCAGGGTTGTTTTCTCAGCCTTTTTTGTGCTCTTCTCCTGTGGTTTTGGTTTTATCTTCTTCATCTTCAGGCAAGACATTTGAAAGTCTTTACGAGTTCAACTATTATGAGAGTGTTTAGTTTTTGTTGACAAACAGAGTGACAGGCATTTCCTGAACAGAAACTTTTGTGCTTGCTTGTGCAAGTCTTCTGAGTTGAACTAAATGTTTGCAGGAAGTATTCCATTATCTGTAGTACAGCCCTGCTTAAGGAGGGCAGAATGTTCTCATATTCTGGTAGTGTGATTTTTTTTTTTTCTTTTTAACAGGAGGGAGGATGCTAATGGAGAAATTGGAAAACTGAGAAGTTGTGGTGTATCAAAAGGGGTTTGGGGAAACTTCAGTAACATGTTTGCTGAGAAGGGAGTTTTCATGCATACTTTGAAACACTGGATTTTTTAAAATGGTGATCTTCAACTATGTATCAACACTTGGGTTTAGGATTTTATTCTTTCTGTAGAAGTCTTTTATTCTTTCTGTAGAAGTCTTCCGAAGTTGTTTTGTCGACCTTTTATTCTGGCTTAATATAGTAATATGTTTTTCTTAATTTCTAGTGTAGTGCAATCTTGCACTTGTGAAATAATTTTCCTTCTGCACGTGTTCTGGCTACAGAATTCCATTAAAATATAATTTTAATGAAGTTACAAGTGGTAAATGTAATAGTGAACAATGTAATTTTATGGTATAACTCACTTCAGCATAAATGTGAAAGTATTGTAAAGGCTTCAAAATTACTTGCATTTAAATGTTTACTTTACAAGTGAAAATTTAACAGTAATGTCAAGCTGGAGACAGACCATATTGAGGAAAATTTTGAGACTAGATTATGTAGCTTTTCCTGCTATAAATTGGAACAATTTTAAACAAAATCCAGGATGTCTGTCTTCATTTAAGGCATCCATTTTAACACAGTCGCTATGGCTTCAAGTAAGTCTGATACCAAGGTGTAGATGTGCTCTGTTTCAAGGGTCACTTCTGAGTAGAAACAAGTGTAGATTTATTTACAAAACATTTTCATTGTCTCTGGTTCTTCAGGCTCCCATTCCCAAGAGTGCTCTCGTTCCTGTGATACCTATTGCCAAATCAACAGGATCACGATTCCGAAACAGTGTAGAAGGACTGAATCAGGAGATTGAGATAATAATTAAGGAGACGGGAGACAAGGAGGAACAGCTTGTTGTATGTATTTGCCACCATGATTGCTCTGTATAATTATTTTGGTTTTGCTTTGAGATTTATAAGTCATGAGCTTTATTTTGCACAGTTCTTGAATTAAATTGGTCTGGAATTAATTTTACTTATATGTATTCTTTTTTTTAATAAGGTTAGTTGAAAAGTCTCTCGGAAAGCAAAAGGAAGCAAAGTGTTAAAGCCTGAATCTGAACCTTTTCCTCTTAATAAGAAATCTCAGTAAAACAGGGGAAAAGACAAAAAGTCTCTTTTGAGAGTTTTTGTTGTAATTCTTTTTTGCCCATGCTGAACTGTTCCCATCCCAATTGAAGCATAACTTGCTCATTTTTAACGTTAATTTTATTTTAATGATTTTTAGAGGTAAATTTAGTAATAAAGTATCAGAAATACAGACCATGAAAATGATTAAGGGTCTGAAACATTTTTCACATGAGGAGAGGCTGACAGAGCTGGAAGTTCAGCCTTGAAACGAGAAGGCTCAGAGGGATCTTATCAACATATATAAATATCTGATATGCAGGAATGAAGAGAGGGAGCTGGTCTCTTCTCAGTAGAGCCCATGACGGGGCAGTGGGCATAAATTAAAAACCATTAGATTTTTTTTTTTTTTTTTAATGTGTGTGGGTATGCAAAACTGGAGTAGGTTGCTCAGAGAACTTGTGGAATCACTGTCTGTGGAGATGCTCAAAACTTGACAGGACAGAGTCCTGGACAAACTGTTCTAGCTGACTCTGCTTGAGCAGAGATGTTGAACTAGATAGTCCCAAGAGGCCTCTTCCAACCTCAGCAGTTCTTTGATGATGTGAGATCTTGAACTGTTGTCCTTCGTTTCTGAACCTGACTTATTTTCTGTTGGAGTTGAGTGTAAAGAATTTTTCTTTCCACAAATGGCTTTATGAAACTGGAAAAAACCTCTCCCTGTTACTGGATTTAAAGATTTGCTGACCAGAGATGAGAGCAGCCATCTGATACCTTTCACTTTTAACAGCCTCAAGATATTCCAGATGGGCACCGTGCCCCACCTCCGGTGGTTCAGCGCAGCAGCAGCACCCGGAGCATCGATACCCAAACGCCTGGGGGGGCAGACAAGGGCAGTAACAACAGCAGCCGCTCCCAGTCAGTGTCTCCAACCTCCTTCCTTACCATCTGCAACGAAAGCAGTGAGGAAAGTCCATGTTCTGCAGATGATCTTCTTGGTGATTCCAGAGATAAAGGTACTGTGTAACTTTAAAAGTTCGACAATGCTGAACTGTGATTTGTTAAACTGTAAAAGAGAGGATTTGTTGTGTTTTTCTTTGTAAGTGATGTGTTTTTTCCGAGTTGCACCAAATACTGTGTGCACCCATGTTAATTGGAGCTGGATGGATGTGACTGAGGAATATGCTTCCCAAACAAGTTGTAGTTTTTTAAATAATAGGTTCTTCGAGTATATTAAGCAAGTTAAAGAAGTAAGAGTGTACAGTAACAGGTGGAACAACACCTGTCAGGTATTTGCTTCTCAGGGTTTGGGGTTTTTTTTATGATCTTGGACAAAGTGGGCAACCTTGCAGCATTTCATGCATGTACCTATAAAAGTTTAACTGTTTAGTCTTATTCTAAAATGTAAATTATTCTTTTTATCTGAAATCTTCTGAGATACAGTAGGAAAATTTTATAATTCAACATAAACCTCTTCTGTTTTTTAAGGAACATGGCTTCTGCCCTTTTCTTTTGGGTAGGTGGTGATGATACAGAACCACAGATTTGGGTTTGCAGTTACAAATTGAAAATATCCAGGAATGATCAGAGATGGCAGAGGAGCCTGAAAATGTTATGTGGAGAAATAGAAAGGAGGAAAGGGATTGAGATAAGAAAGCATATTTGCAAATGAAGGCTTGAAGGCAAATGAAAATGTTTCTTAATTTTGTAAAATTGGTAATGGAGTGGCTTAAATTTGGGGAGCATGTAAAGACAGCTCTTGTGATTTTTTTTATAGTGTGACCCATTTAAGTAATCAGAAACTCTGTTCCTGCAGAGAATGGGAATAATTCTCCTTTGCCAAAATATGCTACCTCACCAAAACCCAACAACAGCTACATGTTCAAGCGTGAACCTCCTGAGGGCTGCGAAAAGGTGAAAGTCTTTGAGGAAAACTTGTAAGTTGATCTTTGCTACATAAGAAATAACATCTAACAATCAGAGTTAATTATTTCTTTATTGATTTTGTGTCAGATCAAAGTTATTGGTCCAGTTGCTAAAACAATGATAGTCTCTTGTTCTGTGTGACTATATAGTGGCATATATATGTATGTATTTTACTGCTGCAACTTTGTGCTAAAATCTTGAGAGACTCCTTTTAAAAACCATAACTCGAGGACTGTCTCTTACCTGGCAGACAGGGGGAGAGGAACTCAACTAATCAGCTAGAGAGAGATGTACTAATAATCTGTACTGCAGGTGCATCAGCTAATATATGTCACGGCTTGACAGGCACATCCAGTAACCTAGACTCTGAAGACCATATTCTTTTCATCTAAATCAAGGCAGTTGTGAAACTTTTGGTAACAGAGGAGTGAATTTTACCCTGAATATTTGATGCTTTGGTCATTCTGAAAAAAAAATCAACTTTTATTCTTTGGGAGTATTCTGGGGGTTACGTTTTATTACTATTTTCAGAGGAGTTTTTGTACTCTCATGTCATTTGCATGTAAGAACCTATAGTTAAAAATTTCATTTTGTCACACAAGGAGTATGGCTTGGCAATAATTCTCTTATGTCTATAATATCTCAAGAATGCCATCTAGTACAAGTGTGAACTTTAAAAAACCCTTGAATTTGCCTGATCTCTGCAAATGGATTTTGAGAGGTCTCTACGGCCTCTCCCATAGCAATGTGGGAAGGGTTACAGTAACTTAAGTTACCTGTCTCCATTTTAGAGTGTGTAAGCTTTGTTGCCAACAGATTAGATAGCATTCACTTGTTTCAGGAACATAATCTATTGTGGTTTAACTTGCATTGACGTTTCTTTCCAACTTTTCCAAGCTCTGCTGTAGAGGGAAGTGGGCTTCTACAGCTTTTAAAACACGCTTTTACCTGGCTGTTTACCTGCAGTTCTTAGACACTGCAGTCTCATGAAAAAAATCTTTTCACATCTGTTACTTGTATTCCATGTGTACCTGGAGTACATGAGTGTAGCTATTTACAACTCAACTTTTATCTAACATAATTTCTATTTGAAAATCCTGTATAGGATTTTCATTTGGAACAAAAAAGTATAAGTGGGGTTGAATTTTCTGGACCCTTGGGAGAATCAGCCAACATGGAAATGTGCCCTATTTCATGAACAGACTCTGCTCTGACAAGTAATTATCTCTTACAAGAGTATACTGGAGGCTGGTTTGGCCTAGTGTAACAAAGAAGTGCATGAGGCTGTCTAACAAACACATGGAAGGGAGGGGGAGGTTATAGGCCAAAGGACAATACTGGCAACAAGAAAAAAATAGTATAAATTCCTGATGGCTGTTTTCCAGCAGTAAAGAGATGTTTTAAAGCAAACTCCATAGTTCTGTCTTAAAGTAGAATTTGGGTAGCTCAAGTAGATTTACATTGCAGGGTTAGAAATGAACACAGTAGGCACTCCTGTGCTATCCATGATTGCCCTTCCAGCTCTGTTTTTCATAAAGCATGTCTGATTTTTTTTTTTTTTTTTTTTTTTTTTTTTTTTTTTTTTTTTTTTTTTTTTTTTTT